TCCCTTGCACCGGAGCCCCCAACTGCCCCCCAGTGCGCCGGGTTCGACCTGTGACCGCTGGGCGGAAAAAAGGGCCGAGCCGGCGTTTTTCGGCGTCCTGGGGGCACGACTGGGCCGTTTTTTCGACGCCGGCACGGCAAATACGCCTGGGGAGGGCCTGTTGGGGGCGCGGCTGGAGATGCTCTCAGATCTGATGATGTGATCGAAGCAGCGTAATAACAGTACCACGACAGCAGATGGACAAGGCTCGCGCCATCACACGATTTAAGCATGGCCCAGCCCCAACCCAATCGGTTCCGTTTACAACTCAGGCCTTATTTGGTTTGGAGGATTTCTATAGGAAAAACGTAGGAATGAGCATTTCATAGGAAAATTTTCTATAAATGCATTCGGTTTGTAGAAAATGCGTACAGGAATTTCATAGAAATACTATTTATTTCCTCTATTTTTGGAGGAATCTACACATCCAGTCAAAATTCATTTTGTGCGTAGGAACGAGGCAAGACAATTTCTATCAAATTTCTATACTACTCCTATTTCCTACCTTTTGGTTTCCTCCGAACCGAATGAGGCCTCAATGCAGGAGCACAGGAGGCTACCTGTGACCAACAATACCATGCTGCCACTTGTGATCACAGGGCCAGCTTGTGCTGCTCTGCTGATTACTGCTAATAGGAGTAGGATTTAGGGTAGACGATGCAATGGCCGCAAGCTTACAGGACAGGAACTTGTCCCACATCATTCCTCCATGCTGCTCATGCATCTCATCCAATCTCTATTTTGCAAAGCTAGTAGGTAGTAGTAGTAAGAGAAAAGAAAGATGCAACGCGCTTCTTTTGTTTCATGTCATCAGCCACCAGCATTAAATTAATGGCATAACAGACCAAACCCAGTAAAAGAAAACTAAGTTAAAAAATTACTCCTAGTAGGGAGTAACCGATTGGACACTTCCAAAGGTTACATACTTGGCCGCAAAAGAAGAAAAACGAACGAATGGTATCATGTCTCGAACATGCATTTCCTATGCTCAATCCACAGGTATTCACCTCCTCCGGTCGACTTTCACCCTTTTCAGCAGCATAGCAACATTCAGTAGGGAGGAATATACGTATTTGTTGCGGAACATGGGACGAAATATATAATATCTCCGAATCATATGGAGTACTATAATTTACAATACTCCTACATTACCAGGCCTAGAACAGCTGAACATGTATGTGCACGACTTCCCCTTACAATACTCCTACATTACCAGGCCAAATCATATGGAGTACTTTACAATACTACGTTACCAGGTCTAGAACAGCTCAACATGCATATTCACCACGTCCACTTACAATGGCAGCGTCATGATAAGTCCTGTTGGGAACTTTGGAACGCAGTAAAAATGTTTCAGTACCAGCAGGATCGGAGACAGATAAGTGGAGTCAGTTATAAGGTTGATCAGCAGGAACTTTGGAGCTGCCTTTGATTGGTAGGAAATACACTTGGAGCAACGAGCAGCAGACTCCGACTCTTGTCAGGCTCGACCGTGCGTTTGCCAACGTAGATTGGGAGCTTTTGTTCCCGGCCGCCAAGCTGCTACCTCAAGCTTCCTCCATTTCCGATCATTGCCCGCTGCTCCTTCGCAATGACGCAGTGCTGAAAACCAATAGGAGGTTTAGGTTTGAGTCCTACTGGCTTTTTGTAAATGGGTTCAAGGATCTAGTGGCTCAGTCCTGGGCTGAGTCGGCTGGGGGGAGATGCCCTATCGCTGCGCTCAATGTTAAACTATGGCGACTTAGCAAAGCTCTTCGGACTTGGAGCAAGTCAATTGTTGGGGATATCCAGAAGCAGATGCATATTGTTAATGAGATTAACTTGCAGCTTGACATGGCTCAGGATCACAGGCAGCTATCTGCTGAGGAGAGCAGTCTTCGAGCCGAGCTCAAGTCTCGCTCCCTCGGGCTTGCAGTGCTGCTCAAAGTAAAGCTCCGTCAGAGAAGCAGAGTGTTATGGCTAAGGGCAGGAGATGCTAATACTCACTTTTTCCAGCGCAAAGCGAACGCCAGGCGCAATAGAAACACAATTCACATTCTGCATGGGCCAAACGGCGTTGTTACAGATTGCGTGGCTATGTCCAAGCTGGCCCGTCAGCACTTCATGTGCATTTTTGGTGCCACGCAAAACATCTCCTCTGGCCTGGACTGGGAGGAGCTAGGCCTGAGTCAGGTCGACCTGTCGGATATTGAAGGGGAATTCACGCTTGATGAGATTAAGCTGGCCTTAGACGACATGCCGTCAGAAAAGGCACCAGGCCCGGATGGATTCTCTGGGGGCTTCTACAAGCACTGTTGGGACATTGTTAAGCTTGATGTTCTCGCAGCTCTAAACCAACTGCACAGAATGGATAGTAGGGGCTTAGCCCAAGTCAACAAGGCTCTCACTGTGCTTATTCCGAAAAAGCATGGAGCGGATAACCTCTCTGACTTTCGGCCAATTTCATTGGTTCACAGCATTATAAAGCTTTTTACAAAGCTTCTTGCTCGTCGTCTTGCGCCGAAACTGCCGGAGCTTGTTGATCCCTGCCAGAGCGCATTCATTAAGAATCGCAGCATACAAGAGAATTACATCTACATTCAGAACACAATCAGATTTCTGCATAAGTCTAAGAAGCCAACCGTTCTTCTCAAGCTTGATATTGCGAAGGCTTTTGATTCTGTCTCCTGGGAGTACATCTTAGATATGCTGCAAGCTAGAGGGTTCGGTGCGCGGTGGAGAAGTTGGATGGCTATGCTCTTACGCACCTCCTCTTCTCGTGTCCTCATCAACGGCCATCTGTCTGAGGATGTGATCCACCGTAGAGGCCTAAGGCAAGGCGAACCCATCTCCCCTTTCCTATTCATCTTGGCCATGGACCCGTTGCAGCGGATGATGAATCTTGCCACCGAAGAGGGGCTCTTGTCGAAGCTACCAGGAAGACGACGACTCATGCGCTGCTCATTTTATGCCGATGATGTCGCTCTATTTATGAAGCCTTCTGAGAATGACGCCCGTATGATCAAGTTACTGCTCGATTGCTTCGCTTCGGTCTCAGGCCTGCATACAAATACCGCAAAAAGTTTGGCTCTGCCCATTCGCTGTGCTGCTCTGGATCTCCAACGAATCTTGGCGCCGCTTGGGATTCCCATCAAGCAATTTCCGACGACCTATCTTGGCATGCCTCTTTCGCTCCGTTGCCTGACTAAGGTGGACCTTGAGCCGCTGGTCCTCAAGTTTGGGAACAGAATGGCTCTTTGGAGGGGCGGCATGATGGCTAAGAGTGGGCGGCTCACACTCCTCAAAGCAAATCTGGCCTCTCTTGCCGTTTACCTAATGACGGTGCACAGCCTACCCAAGTGGGTCATCAAGCGGCAAATCCAACTCTGTCGCGCGTGGTTATGGAATGGGGAGAATGTTTGCAACAGTGGTCATTGTCGAGTTGCATGGAATTTGCTGTGCCGCCCCAAAGTTTTGGGAGGCTTAGGTGTGATGGATTTCGCTAAGTTCGGCGTGGCGCTCCGTCTCCGCTGGATGTGGTTAGCTTGGCAAGACCCAACTAGGCCATGGGTGCGTGGGCCGCTGCCATGCAATTCGAAGGAGGAAGAGCTTTTTGCAATGGCAACGGAAATCTCACCTGGTGATGGTGCACGGCCAGATTTTGGCAGGATAGATGGTTGAAAGGGCAGTGCCCCAAAGTTATTGCACCATCCCTTTTTGCTGCCTCCACAAGGAAGAATAGGACGGGTTGTGAGGCTTTGGCAAACGAGCGGTGGCTCCTGGACCTTGCAACGGGTCTCACGGCAGACATGCTTCATGAGCTTGCAGTGTTGGCAGGCTTGCTGGATGACGTGGAGCTTCGGCAGGATCAACCGGACACCATCCAATGGAGGTTCGTGTCTGACGGCAAATATACTGCCCATTCAGCCTACTTGATTCAGTTTGAGGGATCGATCCCCCTTAATGGCCATCAGCTAATTTGGTCTGCATGGGCGCCGGGGAAATGCAGATTCTTCATATGGACTGTCTTTCTTGGTAAAATTCTCACGGCTGACGCTCTCCTGCGTCGGGGTTGGGAGAACTGCTACTTTTGCCCTTTGTGTGTGCGCAACCTGGAAACCCCCCTCCACCTCCTCGTGGATTGTCCGTGGTCTAGATCCATCTGGGACGGCATTGCGTCGATGGCCAATTTGCCGTCACTGAACACGGCCACATGGAGCGCCACCTCCGCCTTCAAGGACTGGATGTTCGAGCGCAACGCACTGACGCCGCCGGCGAGAAGAAAGGGCTTGATCTTTCTCGTTCATCTGACGGCGTGGGAGATTTGGCGTGAGAGAAACCGACGGCTATTCCAGCAGGAGGCAATGACTAAAGCTGCATTCAAGCGCAAGGTCATGGATGAAATCAAGATTGGAACATGGCTGGTGCTGGCATACCTTTTGACCCAGGCTGAGTTGGCATCAGTAGTCTTCTTTCTTCTCCTTTGTTTTCTTCTTTTGGTGTTGTCCGCTTGGGCGTGTTTATTGTACTCGAATTCTTCTGATCAATGAATTTGACAGATCAACTGTCAACATTCAAAAAAGAAAAGACAGACAATCTCACACCCCCGAGTGTGCATGTGTAATTACAGAACAAGGCATTTTTTGTAACCATGAGAGAGATCAAAGTGACCATAGTGAGCTCTGGAACATAAACTCAGCGACAAATTAGCCGTTGACGCACACAACTGACCAAAAATTTGGCAACATATATACCAAAAGGCATGGTAAAAAACAAAAATTAACATGGGAGAACCAAGCAGCCATCTTTAACATCATGGTGGCCCCTTTCTAATCCCCTTCCTTTACATGAAGATGAAGACGAAGGCACGTACGTACGTATTTGCACTTAAAAATACGATTTGGAACACAAACAAGCAAACCAAGAAGAAGAAAGCTACCTACACCCACCAAATTGCCCGATCAATGGCGAGATGGAATGAATCAATCAGCATTGTGCATGGAGGAATCGAGGCCCTCCACGCGGCTGCGCACGATGCGGTGGAACACCTCCCGCACCTGCTTCTCCAGCGGCTCCAGCCCTTCCCTCATGGCCGCGCACACGGCGGAGAGCTCCGCCGCGGCCTCCCGCAGGTCGGCCTCCCTGTCCCCGAAGAGCGGGATGGGGGCCGCGTCAATGGCGTCAGCGAGCTTCTGTGTGGCTTTATCAAGCACGTGGATTTCCTTGAGCAGGCCGCAGGAAGAGCGCCTCTCCTTGCGCTTCCCCTCCTCGGCCAGGCGTTCTTGCAGGGTGAGGAGAGGCGGCGCCCAGGGGAATGCGGCGCGCGCTGGCGCCACGGGCAGGTGGTGCGCCAGGAGCGCGCTGGAGCGGTCCGGGCATGGGACGGCGGCGACGAGCGCCCACGCCGTGAAGTGGAGTATGCAGCCCATGGCATAGACCGGCGCCACGAGGCCCCCCTCGTGGGCGCGCGGCGCGGTCAGCCCGGCCCCGATGGCCTGCAGCTGCCGCGACGCCGACCACGCGCGGGACACGCTCCAGGAGAGGGAGCGGAAATGGGACGCCGATGAGGCGGCGGAGGAGCCGGTGGCCGAGCCGCGCGACGGGGACGCGCGAGCGCGGCCGAAGGAGCGGTTGCGGTGGGAGGCGAGGAAGGAGGCGACGCCCCCGCTGGCGGCGGCGGTGGTGTCGTCGACGAGCAGGACGGAGAGCTCGGAGACGGCCTTGCGGGCGCGGCGGAGCTGGCCCTCGTGGATCTCCCCGGGCGCGAGGAGCACGGAGGCGGCGATGTCGGCGAGGCGCTCGAGGCGGCGCACCTGGTCGACGCCGTCGCGGGCCGCGTTGCAGACGTCGAGCGCCTTGACGGCCCTCTCGTGGAACTCGGCGACGAGGCGCTCGGCCGCGGCCGGCAGCGCCCCGCGGCGGCGCGCCTGCGCCAGCACGACCCGGAACTCCTCCTGGCAGAGGATGAAGGCCTCGAGGAGGCGGCGGATCCAGGCGACGGAGAGGATCTCCTCCTGCGCGGGCACTCCCTCGGCCGCCTCCGCGGGCAGCAGGTCCCCGAGGTTGGCGGCCAGGTGGCGCTGGAAGACCTCGAGGTCGGCCTCCTCGCCCGACGCCATGGCCGTGTGGTCACGGCGGAGCGAGAGGAGCGAGCCGAAGGAGAAGGGCGACGGGGAGGACGACGCCCCCTGGTAGTCCGTCACCGGCATGGCCTCCGGCGAGGTCGCCGGCCGAGGGCCGGGCGGATCTCGCGCGCGGGGGGGCGTCCGGGCTTAGCGGGCTAGCGGGCGCGGGGCCCGGCGCATCTGTCGCGGCGACGACGGGGAGGGAATGGAATGGGAACGGGAACGGGGAATGTGGCAATGCGAGTGGGAAGGGAGGATGGAGTTTTATATGAAGGCGTTCATTACTTTAAATGGATTGTTAAATTAAATTAGCAGTATTTAATAATGAGCTTGTTTTTGGGAGGCTGGGATGGCAGGGGTGCGCTAATCATGAAATGCTTCCACTTATTTATAGGCCGGGGAATTCTTTTGTGCCTGGGATGTTTTCTACGCCTCCTTTTGGGTTGCTTTACCACCAGAAAGTCCTTACCGGTGTTGATATTGCTTTTTATGGTAATAATCGCATGTTTTTAGCATGGCTATTGGACTTCCTTGCTTTGTAAAAAGCAGTTAAGCAACGGATGACAATCTCATTGCTCTCCATACCGTACTCAACTCATGCGTGGTGGACACCAGCGGAGCTCTATGAATGTAGTAGAGCAAAATCTTTCCGTATGTGCTTGAGTTACTAGAGAAGGGAGAGAGCGAGAGCGAGAGTGCGTGAGAGCCCTCCCTTCGCCGTGCATCACTCCGACGCCGGCGTCCACCTAACCCGTCGCTTGCCGCTCCGGCAGCGCCGGCCACCTCCCCCTTTGTTCTCCGCCCCCGCTCTCTGCTTCCTGGCCATGGCGGAGAGCCCCCGCTCCGTCAACTCCGTGTTCCCTCGGGAGAGGCCCGTCGTCTCTGGTCTGGGGATCTCCTCGGCTTTCGAGAGATCCGCCGAGGACGTGGCTGGCCCGTTGGCGCCACCGGCCGCGCCTCTGCTGGAGGGTGCCGTGCCGGAGACCTGCCGGCGTGTGTCCCCGTGGCAGGCGGCCCCTGCTTCGAAGAAGACCCTATGGAAGAGGAGGATGGGTGCGGATCTGCCAGCTGGGGCTCCGCGCCGCCCCTTGCCGATGAGGAAGGAAGTCTCGCCGGAGATGCGGGACAAGTGCTTTCGGTGTCTTGCAAAAGGGCACTTTCTGAAGGACTGCACCAATGAGGTGGTGTGCTTCCGCTGCGGGCTCCCCGGCTATGTCGCCTCGCAGTGCAAGCGGTCGCGCAACCCGTCGCCGGTGGAGGAGCTCCATCGGGATGCGGCGGCTAAGGTGGCTCGTCGTTCCGCGCCGCGGGACGAGGTGGGGTCTGGGTCGGCTAGGCACGCTGCTTCTGCCAGGGCCGCACCACCGCCGCCCTTGGCTGATCCTGCGGCGGACCCGGTGTGGCCGCGGCTCGCCGTGCCGCGCTTGGAGGTGGCGGTTGATCCAAAGATGGAGCCGTCAGAGTTGTGCATTGTAAGGAGGCCCCGCGTCATGGATGACATTGAGCACCGGCTTCACAAAGCCATGGTGGTGTACATTGGTGGGGACAGGTCGGAGATCTCGCCGGAGCTGGTGAGGCGTGCTCTGAAAGACAGCATGGGCATCCCTGAGGACAGATTTTCGGTGCACAAGTTCTGCCCGGAGGATTTCCTGGTGGTCTTTGCTAGACAGGAGGACAGGAATCTGTTGAGCAGGCGGCCGGTGCTGGAGCTTCATGGGCACAGGTTGTCGTTCTGGCAGTGGATCAGGCAGTCGCAGGCGGTGTTCGCGACCATGCACTTCAAGGTGAGGTTGGTCATCGAGGGGATCCCGGCGCACGCATGGGAGCTTGAGGTGACTGAGAGTTTGTTGGGCGGTGCATGTATCATCGATTCCATTGCGCCGGAGACCTCTGCTCGCTCAGATCTTGCTGCGTTCAAGTTGCTGGCCTGGACGGCGGACCCGGAGCAAATACCCACCCGCCGCTGGCTCGCGGTGCCGGAGCCGGAGGAGCAGAGGGCGCTTTTCCAGCCCAAGACTCTGCAATACAAAGTGCTCATACATCTGGACTCTGTGATTTCGTTCCCGGAGGGGGAGGAACCGTGGTTCTTGGGCAGCTCGTCGGACAGTGGCCAAAGCGGCCTGTCGGACTCAGAGATGGATATGGGAGGAGGCGCTAACACGCAGAACTTTGGCTGGCAGTTTGGGGTCCGCGACTCGAGGGGCGACAATGCCGGAGGGACGGGAGGTGGCCGGAGCTATGCCGGCGGCGTGGCCCGCGGCGGAGCACCATCATCGGAGTGGAAGATTCCCCCCATGGCCCAGGCTAGAGAGAGATGCCGTGGTGGGGCCGGGGTCCGCGCCCACGATAGACTGACGGTGCGTCAGTCTACTTTTGACCGGATCGCTTCTGGGCCCGGACAGGTGGATAAGGATGCCACGGGGACAATTCGAATTTCGAATCCCACTGGCGCGTGCGCTTCGAGGAGGCAGGTGGTGGGACAGGTGGTTCCAGAACGGTTCTTTGGAGAAGGGGTGACGATTCCGGCACCAATCATGCAGCAAGCAGTTCTGATGGACTCCCACGCGCGATTTGATGCGACCCTGATGGATAAAGATGTTGAACCCGAGGAGATACGACTTCTGGCAGCCCGGCTAGACATGACCAAGGGCGGGACTGGCGGGTCAGTGGTGTCGCCACAGCTGGATGGCCCCACGACGGAGGAGGTGGCGATTGTAGTGGCCCCCACCTTGGTGGTTGGTGAGGGACTGGATCCCAGATCGGAGGCACGCGACAGGGGAGACAAAGATGCAGCAGTATTGGGAGGCATGGAGGGCCACATGCAGGCTGGGATCTCGCCCTCCACACAGGATCCCATTGGGTGTACACTGGAGCCAGCCCCACACGGGCCCATCGGAGACCAGGCGGGAAGTGGAGGATCTGTGGGGATTAGTGCCCAGGCTAATTCGCTGGGTGAGTTGGTGCCAATGATTGGCACGGATGCCCAAACAGGCGGGGACAAGGGGGCCCCTGGACAAGTGGCGTCCATGCAGGAGTTCGAGGCCGCCCAGCTAATTCCTCACGTAAACAGCGACATGCAAAACGTGGAGTTGGCATGCAATGGTGGCATGAAGCCACAGGAGGTCGCTGCTTTCGAAAAACTGAAGTGGTTCTGCAATGCCCTTGTCCGCAAGTTGGCACCCCCTCTCCTTCAGGAAGTGCAATCATCGCTGAGACCGGAAGCAGAACCATTCACGCCACGGCGTACTACACGAGGCGCCAAGCGCGCGATGTCGTCGATTCCCGCGAAGGCTACACAGGCGGAGAACGTGCTCATGCGGGCACTAGATCTGGTCCCGGAAGATTTAGAAGGAAATGAGGACTCAATTGCTGAGCTTGCGGACATCTTCGACACCCCTCTCCGCGAGCAGCATATCAAAGTGATCGCCGCCCTGTTTGGGAAGGAGGTCCCTCCGGCTTGCGAATTGAGGGCCCGCAACATGGTGGTGGCAACCCCAGCTTGATGGTTGGGTTCGGTAGTGGGCGGTCCTCATCACTATATCCATGGATCCTAACCCACATGTGTTGTGTTGGAACGTGAGGGGCCTTAACAACCCTGCCAAGAAGCATGCAGTTAGGGAGTTTGTAGTGGCGGCCAAGGTTAGCCTTGTGTGTCTCCAAGAGACGAAACTAGATGTATTCGATCCTTTCATCGTTATGCAATGCATTGGCCCATCGTTCGATGGGTTTGACTATGTGCCGGCTGAGGAGACTCGTGGGGGCATCCTACTTGCTTGGGATAGCACGGTGCTATCCGTGCATAACATCGTGCGCAATACCAACTCTATCACAGGTCTCGTTCATGACAAGGGAGGATCGACTTGGTGGGTCACGGCGGTGTACGGGTCGCAAGGAGAGCGCCCCAAAACTCAATTTCTATGCGATCTTCATGCTTTGCGCGCGGCCTGCCCTGGGCCGTGGATGGTTTTGGGAGACTTCAATATGATTCTTCGGGCGAAGGACAAGAGCAACAATAATATCAACAGACGAATCATGAGGAGATTTAAGGAGTTTGTGGACAATAATGAACTTAAGGAGGTTTACATGCACGGTCGGAGATTCATGTGGACAAATGAAAGGGATCAACCGGTGATGACAAAGATCGATCATGTGTTGGTGACTGTGGACTGGGGGCTTTCTCATCCGGATGTCCTCCTCCAAGCTCTGTCCACTAACATTTCGGACCATGCCCCGCTCCACCTATATACTTTAGCTCCTTTCTGCCATAAGAGAAGATTCCGTTTCGAGATGTACTGGACCAAACTAGAGGGGTTTGATCAAGCTGTTCGGGATGCATGGGTATGTGATGAGAACATAGTGGATCCTTTCGAGAGGATGGATGCGCTCTTGAGAAATACGGCTGTCGCGCTACAAGCCTGGGGACAGAGGAATCGCTATTGCCAACTATGTCATTCTCAAGTTCAACCGCGCCATGGAGATGCATGCTCTCACTCCCGCCGAGCTTTGGCTTCGCAAGACTATCAAACTGGCGCTCTTGGGGTTGTCCTCTTTGCAACGTACCATCGAGCGTCAACGCTCACGGCTACGATGGATCCGAGAAGGTGACGCGAACACTAAGCTCTTTCAGGCCGTGGCAAATGGGCGGAGATCAAAAAATTTCATCCCTCACATTAGGCACAACGAGGAGCTCATTACTGAGCAAGAGAGGAAGGGTGAAATCTTCACCGAGGCTTACGAGCAGTTGTTGGGTCATGCAACGACCAGGGAGGCAGATCTAGACCTCAATTTCCTGGGTATGGAGACTCACGATCTTGGCGAGCTTGAGAACATTTTCACGGAGGAAGAAGTTTGGAACACCATCAAGGAACTGCCACCGGATCGGGCCCCTGGGCCGGATGGTTTCATTGCTGCTTTTTATCAGAGGGCATGGCCGATCATAAAGAACGATGTTATGGCGATGATGATGAAGTTGTATGTGCAGGATGGGAGGGGTTTTGGAAGGTCAACAAAGCACATAGTATGCTCATCCCTAAGAAATCCGATGCGGAGCTGGTTGGGGATTTTCGTCCTATCAGCCTTACCCA